GGGAAAAAAGTGTGCGATTTGACGTGGAATGGTCCATATACAACTTAATTCCCAAGAAGGTTATCTTTTGCTTTCTTGAGGGAGGTGAGTCTAACTAACAAGTGAATAAAGAGAATGGGCTTTAATTTGTGCTTTGTTTGTTAGTTACGTTTCGAAATAGAGCATTGTTACACTGAACGTCTGAAACAACGACGTCATGTGTGAACAACTTTTAAGGTGAAAATTTCTTTGGTAATCAGCACAGTAAACAGCTTCTTCTGAGGAGCTGTGGATTTCTGGTACCATCAGGAAGATATTGAAATCAACTCCAGGAGCAGCTCTTTATTTCGGCGATAAACACGTTAAAACATTTTTTCACAAAATTCTGAGCACCTTTATCTTTAAAATCATGTCACTGTAAGCATCAACTACAGCAAGCACGTTTGAAAACCATCCCATCGCTTCTTAAGGGTCGAATGAATTGTAGCTTATATCGGCCATTCAGCTTGAAGTGTTTGTCTAATTTGGTACTGCATTTGTCAGTATGTCATTGTAATTATTTATATTAAGCCTCAGAAGAGGAAGATTTATTGGATCTCAAATATTTGAAAACCTTGGTCCTGAAGCGAAAAATTACCTCTCAGTAAATTTCATATCTCAAAGGAATGCATTCACTTTGGTATTCTTCGTTTTCCGGCTATACGTTGAAGAGCTTTGGCTTAGGAGATTTTTTTACGTAATCTTCCCGTGTATGAAATATGATATTTAGAAGTTTGGGTGTTCTCGTTTGGATATTTGTATGTTGCATTCTGTAAGGTTTAGTACAACCAGCGGTGTTTCCTGCATCCTATGCAGTTACTATGTTTTTTTTTCTTACACTTATCAATTAAGTAAATCTTCGAGTTGTCGGCTACTTTGATAATTGAATTAAGTAGTTTGTTTATTATTTTTTTTCTTAATCATGAATTCATATTTGTTGTATGTCAATAATTATTTGGTTTTTTGATTTGTCACATCCAATACCTGTTGTTCCCAGTAGTATATAAATTCACATCAATGCGGTAACTATCACTTGTTATAAATTTGAGCTTAAGATGGAATCGTGTTTGGCGGCCATAAGAACTGCGACTAACAATGACGATATTGTCAAAATTATTTATAACGCTGTTGAGTCGCCAGATCTGTATACTTTTTCCGAAATACTCGCGGAGAATGCAGTGAAAGGGTTATTGAATCATCCAGAGTTCGCTAGATTTTATCATCTACTTCAACTGTTTGCCTATGGTAATTTTCTGGATGACTCTCTATCAAAATTATCTGTGTGTCACTTGTGATTGGAGGCTTTTGTATTACTTGGACTTATTAATACAGGGACATATGAACAGTACTTACTGGAGAAAGAAGAGCTTCCAGAATTAACTCATGCAATGATTTTGAAGTTGAGACAGTTAACTTTGGTGTCAATGTGTGTTCAACATAAACAGATTCCAGTAAAAGAGGCAATGAACTTACTTCGTTTGGACTCGGTTCTTGAACTTCAAGCCATTTTTATTGGTGCCGTATATGCTGGCATTTTGCAGGTTAATTGTGCTAATTTTGTAGCTTGAAGAGCTTACACCCATCTTATTTTTTACTTTTATAGTTACATGTTTTTTGGTGTGTGCTCAGGCGACTGTGTGACAGTGTTATGTTCAGGTCACGTCTTTTAGATGGGTTCCTTGATATTGTTAATTTAAGGGAGATATGATTCTTGTAATTGGATTTTACACCCAAAAACTTTTCACAGTTTACGTTTAGTCTTTTCTTACGTGGAAGTTGTTTTTCAGGTGGCTCTAAAATTTTGACATCAATTGCACCTATGTTTATGTTATTTTATTTGTCTTCAAAAAGTTGTTCACAATATCTTTTCTTTTTGACATTAGTTTTAAGTCTTAGGGAAAATGGAATACTGAGAAGGAAACAATAGAAGTGCAGTCGTGGAGGAGCAGAGACGTGCAAGCAGAAGAGCTGAATACGATGAGATTACGATTGTCGAGGTGGATTCACTATTGTTCGAATGCTGTAGAAGGATTGGAAAATATTGTTACAAATGCTGAAAAAGCCATTGCCGATGCCGAAGCCAATGAATTAAAGGCATTAAATTATTTCTCATAGAAGATATTAACATATTTTGCATCGGAAACTTTTACATAACGTTTTGGAACTCGTTTTTAAATGAACTTTTTCAGGTGGAAGAAGAAATCAAACGTATACGAAAAGCAATGCAAGAGCAAGATGAAGAAACTAAATCTAAAGAATTAAGGAGGCCGAAGATGTCGCGAACGCAGAAGTACTCGTAGTGCTGTTCGTCTCGACATGTTCTTTTGAGAATGAATTGTATAAAAAGTTCTTTTTTTTTTTTTTGGAACGCTTTGTCGTGCTTTACTTTTGTTTTTCTTTTATAAAAGAAGCAATTTCTTTTTATGTAATAATGTTGAGGTATAAAATCTAAGCAGTGAGACAAGCTTGTTTTTTGTGTTTGCTTCGTGATGTGCGAATTCGAAAATTTTGTTTGGTTTATTATTGTTAACTGATGCGCTGATCTCTCTTTAGGGTGACATTATTGTCATGTTTTTGCATATATATGAAAGATTTTTTATAAATTCATGCGTTCTCGTAGATTATTTGCTTTCGGTTAGGTGTATATCCTTCCGTTTAACGAAAAACAAAGTGTCAAAGAAATACGGGTTTTCTGGAATGGCTAGCATGTATTACATTTTTTTTTATATTTTACAATATAATTTTAACTGAGATGACTTGTCGTTGTCCAATTTTTGCTATTTTAACTGCAGAGCGACTAAGCTTTTTGTTCTTTGTTTTTGTCTGGATATTTTTTGTTTACTACAGGTTAGTTTCTATCTTTTCTTTGGATACCTCAGGTAGACATGTAGAAATTTACAGTTGTTCATTTTGATAAAAAATGAATTCACTGAACGAGTACAATTTGCCACATATCAGTGAGCTGTTGTTTGGAAGTCTCCCGATCGGTAGGTTTGGGAAGCGGTTTAGAAAGTTCCATAGTACAAGCCCTCTCAATCACAATTGGGTTTTCGCTTGTTCACTTCAGATGTGTGCTGCGAGCAGGCTAGAAACATTTAAATTTTATATTTTTGATGAACCTAATAGACGTGTTTCTCTTTGCCGGTTCTTTTACTGTTCCAGTTGAGATCTGACAGTTCAGCAACATAATAATTTTATGCTTAGTTGACACTAAAATTTCTTCTGTTTGCCGTTGGCGTTTTATAGTGCGGAAGATATATTTTGTTATACGTAATGTTGCCGGTAATGGGGTGTAGTTCCTGAAGACCGGTGAGTTGTTGAAACCAATGTGGAAGCTGATGCTAGTTGAGGTCGCTTGGCATCAATTATTTATTTGAAAAAGGAGAACTACCTCAAGGGCTCAGGGGTATTGTGTTTCGGCGTGCATAGGTTGTAGAGCTATAGTTTTTGTTATGCGCTTTCTTTTGTATATTGCTTTGGTTCTGCTGCGTTTAACGGCATTTGCTATAACATCTTTTTCGTTTTCAGTTGATTGATTTTGAGGTTTTGGGACGTCTAGGAATATTTCGCATCATTCGAAGAACTGAAGGGTTTCGATGACCGCAAAGAATGAGGTAGAAGAGGAGTACTTGAAAAGGCTTGGTAATAGAATGAATTTTTCAAAGAGTTTTTGAATGTGAATACTGTATTTATCATTGCTTTAGTTTTCAACAACTATATTTTGATTATTTGTGTAGCTTTGTAATTACTCAGCTATGTTGCAGAAAGGAAGTTGCATAAGTTAACGGAGGCAGGCAATCTGACCGGAAAGGATATTTTGGACCAACTGGCTGAACATCGTAATTGTCAAGTAACTGGTTTTGATTTTTGCTCTGGAAATTGGTTTGTTCAAACATGGTTTTTTAGATTTGAGAATTTTTATTTTTACCTGTTGACCAGCAGTTGATGAAGACTTTAGTTTTTACGCAGGAACTTGTAATTACCCTCTTTACTTTTGAACGTTTTATTGTTGACCCCCTAGGACACTCATCTTATTTAATTGGTATTATTTTAGTTGTTTGATCTTTTTAATCTGTTACGAGTATTCAGAACGGATTCCATGGTGCATTTTTTTACTTTATATCTAAAAGCTTTTTATAAGTATTTTTGACTTTTGAGCTGACCGTTAAAGAATTCGTACATTTTGTAGAAGTTTGCAGTTCAGATGGAAGCCTTTTTTTTCGGAACTCACTGCATGAAATTTCTTCATCTTTTATTTGCCCTCCATTTTCATTTTAGCTGTACCATCAAAAAAGCAATACTGTACCATAAAAAGTCGCAGGCAGTTTTTAAAAATTTTTTTTGAAGAACTTTATGACATTAGTTTGTAGTAATAATACACTGTTTTAGTTATCAACTGTCTATTGAGTTATGTGTAATTTAGTTCGAATCTTCTGATTTTCCCACTTCAAACTTATTTGGAGACAACCAGGTTGATACAGTAATTACTCCTTCATACTTGCGCCTGAAAATTGCTCCTCAGACAGCAGCACTTAGTAAGGAGGAACTGTTAAAACTTATCAAGACAGATCAACTTGATTCGTCCAATTAAAACCTTCATTTGCTTTGATAGAAGGTTCTTGCATCCTCTCAAACTTTTATTTGTTTTATATTCTACTCGTTTTTGCTTTTATAAGCCTGTGGTCAATTTTTAAGTGTTTTTCTTTTAGGCATGATGTGGAAAGAGCAGTCATTTATTCCACTTCAATTCTGCAACACTTACAGTTTACACCACGTTGAGGGTATAATGAGTTTCAATAGTGTTTAACTATTAACGCTTCACTGCTTACCGTAGTGTAGTGATTTTGAGGCGGTCGTGGCAACGGAATTTTATGCACAACCACTGGCGGTGAGGCTGTTTGGATTGATGATCCCGACCATCCGGTTAAACTTTATGATATTTTGAATGAGAAAACTGCTCTCACTGAAACCCTGGAACTTATTGCTGGTGATTCAGCTAGTCACTGTGAGGACGATTGTATTGGCATACTAGCCACATGGTTAGGACTTCTTCTAATCGCTCAAGGTTGAAATGTTTTTCAAATTGTTTCTTTTTAGCTGGATTGTAAATGACGAATTCTTCCTGCCACAGCGATACTTTGGAGCGTTATTTAAAATAAAAAAGGACTCTTCTTTTACTCTAGGTGATTTATGTCTCACTCGTTTAAGCCTTTAGGTTCGCTCGTTGTTATTTGTTGTCATCATGTTCCAGGTTGGAAGGATAGCTTGAAGACGAAACCTACTTTCACACGCGTTACTGAAGTAACACCTCTTGCTCAAAATCGACGATGCATATTAATATTTACAAATGCATGTTGTGTCAACTTATTTACTATTGAAGTTGGTTCTTTCAACAAAAAAGTCAAAAATTTTTTAATGCGCTCTACATACATTCTACATTTCTAGCAAAAGTCAGCAAAAGTTAGTGCCACAGAAATCGTTGGAGATATATTTCCAGGATTAGATCTTCAGGACCTTAGTGGTGCAACAATTAGGTAATTTTAACTACAGAATTCATTTGGTTCTCCGCATAACAGTAACCTATGAAAAGCATTCTCTTCTTCTTGCAACAAACTTTATTTTTAGCCTGGTTCAAGTCGCATCAACACTGAAGTAAAACATTTTTTCTAGGACATCATGCTTACATACAGAGAAGTATCGGTGGTCAGGACTGGGATCAGAAACTGGAACTGTTATCATTACTGCGCTTTTAAAATCTAGAAATGATATTGTATGCAGGTAAACTTATTCCTGAAATAGCCGTTTTCTTCTTGAAACTCAGTGGCATTCATAATAAGCGGGGAGATTAGTTAAAAGCTAGATTAAGTTTGCTAAAACATTTTTAATTGCAGAGCGAAGTTAAAGTTTGAAGGTGTAATATCTGTCCTTCAAGTATTGAAGCCATTTGACAAAGAGGATAAAGTGCTTTTTTTAATTTCATCTATGATTGGGCCTCCAACAATATGGACAATAGCGACGAGGGAAGAGGATACTGAGATACGCAGAACATCAGAACTGCTGGGTTGTGTTGGCCATGACGCAATTATATGTTCGGGTTTTAGTAAAAACGTCCTCGCGATTGGGACATATGCCGGGGTACCTGAACCTTTTAATGCCGTTTGCTTAATAATTCCTTCGTTAGCTATTGCAATTCTTTAAAAGTTACCAGAAAGTTTGGGGAAGAATAAAATGACTAAGAAACTTAAAGTGGTGCCTGAAGAACTTCTTTAAATTCTTTGTGGGTCAAACATTCAATCACCCCACGGTGACTATAGGTCAGAAAATCTAGGTTTTTTACTTCCAGAGACTTATCTTCTTTCGTCGTCAAGACGTGCTAGAAGGTGAAGAAAAGGTGTATCCATGCTCTTCGATCGACTACACAGCAGCCATCCTTGCTCTCCGCTTTCTCTCAGACCATAAATTGATAATCCTGTCGAAGAACGGCGTCCACACTGTATGGGTCGACATCAAAAAACTTTGTGAGCAGGGACAACAGAAGCAGCTTCCCGGAAGTCATGGTACTGAGAAGTTATACAGGGACTCACTGACACAGAGGCAGCATCCACTCCGAGCCTTAGGGAATAAGTCCTCCCCACGGTAACTCCATGTTTATTAGAGTTGCAAGCAGCATAACTTTGTTTCATGTTTTACCTGATGTACGTCTTTTCTATGCAGGCATTTGTACTAAAAAAAAACAAGTCTTAACTACGGGATGTGTTTCAAAAAAAAAAAAAGAAAAGGAAGCTAATTACCGACCCCCATTGCAACATCGCATTTAATTCTTCAACACGTTACCTTATGCTTCCAGCCCCCCTATTAGGTAAAGTTTAGTGAACATTTGCAAGAAATATCTTTTCGCTGCTCCAGCACTTTTGTGCCGTCTAAATAAAATTAAGTGTATATGATAACACGGCCCTGCAGTAAAGTCAGTTTACTAAATTTTTTGCTTCCATCATCGACAAGAACTGGACAAGACTACAGTACTTACAATGCTAGAACTACAACTATTTGGCTTGCTGGTTCACAGAATTAACCCAAGTAAAAGTTCGACAAATGTTTCACGTCTCACATGTCCATCCTCGAGACCTCTGCCTGTTGTCATACTACGAGAAGGTCGATTCGTAGACGGCGCGGATCCAAACTGCTACGGCGACAGCACCAGGGTCTGGATCTGTTTGCATTGCTTTTGCAGTGTAACTAGCACGACCACATAAGGCTGTCATAGAAGCAGTCGCTTCCGCAGCCCTTTCAGCTGCCTGAAAATTAAACTTACTGCAGCTTTAGTTACTCCTACTTCTATAAAGAAATAAAAATGACTTTATTAATCTAAAAAACCTTGACAAAATTCCCCCAGCTTTCTTTGTTGTATATCCCGTCACTTATTGCGTTCACCGCTGCATGTAATGGGTCCACCTAAACAGTTATTAAATTAAATGCGTCCCGCCAACAGCGAGTGTATTTATCTGAAGTTCTGCAAATTGAACGAAACATTTTACCATAGACCTGCAGCCTGGACGTGCTTCCCCATACCTCATAACAGCTTCAAGACCTCTCTTCAGAGCTAAGTGCCATACACTGGGTAAAGTTGCATTAGTAAAAGCCCCAGCTGCTGCATTGAACATTAATGCGTAAAGCTGAAAGCGGACGCTCACATTTTCCAATTTGCGACTATGTAGAATGGAATTACCACTGGGTGTCAAAACCAACACTTAACTACCAGAAACAGTTTGCTGTACCTACCGCGCCGGCTGTACCTCCTACTTCTTCTTCAAAAATTTTTGAAATTATTTGAAAAGCATTTTTTGGATAGCTGCAGGGTATTCGCTCTTCTTCAACTGCGCAAAGGACCCCTGTAGTTGAAGAATTTATAGCAACTTAAAAACCTCAGAATTTTGCAAAATTCAATTGAAACAAGAAAGGTGACGGTGTTGTTGTTATTTCCAATTTGAATATTTATCAAATATCCAATATTCCGTAACATATGAGTTGTCAAGACTCACGTGCAGCTCCTCGTGCCAAAGTATGTCCGCAGTCGCCGTCTCCTGCTTTGCTGTCGAGTTTATTCAACCTTTCTTCCGCCTCTATGATCGAGTTACAAGCAGCCCGGAGGCTTTTTAAGAAAACTTCACCATCTTCTAAAGTGTTAGGACTAGAAAAAATAAATTCCCAACCCCAAACATGAAAAAATGTTTCCCCAAAAGCGAATATCTGGTGGTCAAAAAGACCTTACCAAAAAATAATATTGGCTACCTTGGCTTAAATTCATTCCAGTGAATGGTTCCTTTTGTTCTTCCTTCTCTTTTATCGCCTCATGTTGAAAATTAAAAATATGATTGACATCACAGTCTTTGAAACTCCAAGCAGGAGCATTAGTGGGCTCATCTATGAAGATGCTGTTAAGATCAACAATAGCTAAGGTTCGCTGTAAAAGTCAATGAAATTCCTACCTAAATAGTTTAGCCATGTGTCGTCAATCACTTTGAGTATAGTAATGCTGATTCCATGTCCCCCTAATGAGGTCATCACTGTACCGGAGTAAAAGCGGGCTACTAAGTATCCGTGAGAATCTGATAACAACTCAAAATCAGTAAGAGATAAAAGACTTAAATCACTTTGATCAACTGAAATTCAAACTAAAAGAACGCACGCTATCAACTCCAGATGTGAACTTACGCAACCAGCTTCGAATTTCGCCGGCAATTACATTCATTTCAATCTGAGACGTCCCTCCAAGGTTATTTAGAAGCACAGCCAATTTGAAATCTGAAAACTGAATCTGTGCTAGGGGCGTTCTGGTGAAGACCAGATTACGCGAACCGGTCGCAGTTTTATACCTTTCGCTAAGCAATTCTTTTTTGAAGTTTCGAAGCGTTTTAGCAGCAAATCCACAGTGTCTTTGGCGTTCAAAAGTGAGGTCCTTTCACACCCAGGTTCGCCGTGAATTCCTAAACCTAGTTCCATTTCACTGGGCCCCAAGGTAAACATAGGGCCTTTCCCAGGAATGCTGCAGGCTGAGAGACTTACCCCCAATGTACCTAAACTGACAGGAGAAACATTAAAAACTACTTGTTCTTCTAAAATGCTTCATTTTTTTGTTAAGTCTAGATTAAAAAAACCTGGATATACTGCGATATACTTTTACTACGAAACTTTGTTTGAACAAAATCCAAAGAAATCAATTTTACATGGTATACTCGTCCACTTTTAATGAAAATTTACTTCGGTAGAACAGTGAAAAAATAAAAAGATTTTTCACAAGTGAGAGGGCAACTAAGAAAATCTACCATAAGTTTACCTACGCAATCGTTTGCCTGTTGCGCAACGACAGCAATCTTTTCTGCCGGCATGTATTTCGCAGCCATAGCTCCAGCTATCTAAAAGCGATGTTATGATGAAGGCAATCTTAAGCACAATACGGATAAAAGTAAAAAGAAATTAGACGAAAAATGAAACTGGAGGAAATTAGTTTTTATTCATAATTTTGGAAAAACATACGAGACAGAAACAATGGTATAAGAAAAGAGATAAAAGGAAGATTTTAACTTTCATGATCAACACAGCTCCAGCTAACCCGCGACGTCCAACATTACTACATTTAGCTCCTTCTAATGCAATGTCATCACCAATTACCACCATAAAAGCTGGGTTTTTCTGAAATATCGTCTCATCGTTCCGTACTCGTGAGAAATCTGTTTTACAGGGAGGTTGTACAACATTCACTGCATTAGAAGCACGAAATAGAGAGCTCGTACACATTTAAATACTTACAGCAGTGTGCGTTTCATTGAAGCGTTCTACAGCAAGTCCAAAGTTCAATCTATCACCAGTGTAGTTGATTACAAGAACAACAATACCTCCTAAAGTAACGAGATAGCTAGTTTAGCGAAACTTAAGATTTGCAGTAAGTTTTATAAAACTTTTCCTTTTATATAGAAAAAATCAAGGATATTGAGAGGAAACGTTTT